CATAGTCTATAGATATGTTAAAAAGAAACGGAGAAAGCACGCATCTCTGTCTAACTCCAGTAAGTACGTCGAATTCGTCACTGTTGATCTCATTGTGTGTCACGCTGCATTTCGCATCAGTATATAGTGACTTTATAATAGAAATTATTTTTTGCGGGATGTTTCTTAGGTCTAAAATTTTCCATACAGCAGCGTGAGACAAGCTATCAAGGGCACGTTCAAAATCAACAAAAACCATGTATAGGGGTGTGTTCCACTCAACTGATTGTTCCATTATTACCCTCACAGTATAAATGTGGTCTATGCAGGAGAATTCCGGTTAAAGCCTGCTTAATTAGCTCGAAACTCAACCTTGTTTGTTAATCTTTTCAGTATGATGGTCGTGAAAATTTTATTTATGACAGTAAGCAAGGTTATTCCTCTCCAATTTTTGCACAGTGTACACCACGACTAAAATTATCACGCGCACAACTACTATCTCTAAAACGACTTCCACCACCACTACAACTACCACCCTCAAAAGTACAACTTCTACTTCTATAACTAGTATATTTGTGAGTATTGCTATTGATTTGTTGTACATTAGTTTCAGTAGTTCTGCTTGTATATTATCGGGGCTTGCTTCTTTGCCATCCTTTAGCTGTGTTATTGCAGAATAAACTTCTTGCTGTAATATTCTTGGTCCATCATTTACCTCTTATTCTAGCTCAAAGGTGTTATCCATTTGGTCTTCACACTGTTTCTTTACGTATTATTTCCACGTTCTCATTTTACTCTGTTTAAGTCCGATCTTTCATTGGGCTCATTTATTTAATATCTCTTTTCTTTTCGGTCAATTTCTCTGTGCTTATCACGTCCTCTTCCAAGAAGTTTTAAAAGAAAACAGAAAAGTTACTATGAGCCGAAATAATATCCACCCCACCAATAGTCTGACGATACTGTAATATTTAGATACACTGGCAACTACACATACAACTGCAAAAAAAAAGTAAAACGTAAACCACGCGCAAAATAATCAGACTCAGAAACCTGACGAAACAGCAGGTTCAACAGAGGTCTTTTGAAATGAGTTATCCAAGTCAAAATAACTATGATAATCGTAGGAGCAATGAATCTGAGGAGAAGAAAACTTATCTATATACAAGATGTATAATATCGTAATATTTATTTATCAAAACTTCTTACGGTTTAAGGAAAAAATATTTTCCTGTTGATTAATCTACTTATCAGTATTTGTGATTACCAATAAATTAAAATAGCTCCAATCAATATGTTTTTATAAATAAATAATGACGCATGAAAAATATTTTATGTTAGCAATTTGTTCTTATCATTGTTTGATTTTTAAGACGAAAACTAAATATATACTTATGAATTAAAATTAAATATACATATTAAGTATACTTAAGATTCAATATAAACATATTTATTATTTAAAATAATGAGTTACTTTCAAACGAAAGTCATAACAAAACATTCGCGAAACTTAAATTGAAGTTTGGCAATTTGCTATTAACTGATTCTGTTCTCGATTTTTCAAAATTCTAACAGATTCACTGAACTTTACAACTGTATGTAATTACTTCCGCATTCATAGTTCATTATTACTGCAGTATATTTGTATGTGATTGAGAATTAAGGACTGTACACTATATTCAATATTTCTGTGGAAAGACAAAAAAAAAGGGATAACAGGAAATTTTTTGGACTAACAAGTCCATCATCATTGCAGTTACCAGATATACACGAGTGAAGGCACTAAATACACTGCCGCGCATAAAGTTAGGTTAATTTGAATTTATTTTAGAAATTATTATGTTTTTTTAACTATTTTCGGTAACATAGTTTACCAATGGATTGCTTGAAAAAAATTGTTGTTGCTGTTTCGATAAGCGTTTGAGATAAAAAAAAGGCGCTTTACCCTAATTTCTGAAAACCATTATTAGCATAGTTTTTGTTTCAATAGTTTTAACGTCAATTGTAAATTGTTTGTGTTGTCACTGTCACTATTGCAATGAGTGTAAGTTCTGTTGTGGCGGCGTTAACAGATTGTCACGGTAAGCGCGAAACTGCGAGAAACGTTGGTGTAAGTATCTCGAGTGTGCATCGAATATAACGAAGGTACCAAGAGACCAGTCTGCTTGCTCGAATAGCTGTTTCAGGTCAAGGAAGAATTACAACAGCTACTGACAGAGTGCTTTGTCGTTTCTAGAACTTTGAGAAACCGAACGGTCATGAAAGTTTACCCTCGAAAGCATCTGCAAGAAGTGAAAAATGTAAAAGTAAGTGAATGGACAGTAAGGAGGCGACGTCATGCTGCTGGTTTATCTTCTTGAACTAGACTAACTGGACCACCGCTTTCCAGTGAACACCGAATTGCCAAATTGAATTTTGCAGAACACTTGATTTGCACAATACAGGATTGGAGTCGTGTATACTGAGTATTTTGACGAGGTTCAAATCACATGATTTGTTTGGCCTGAAGTCCAGATAATAATCCTATAAAATATGTTCGGAATGAGTTTACGGAGTTATGTGCCGGTCGCCAGAAATTCAAGAGAGCTTCATAACATACTGGTAGAGAAAATGGAACAATCTTCCGCAGAATGTGATTCAAAATCTGATCCAAAGCATGCTTCTTCGTTTGCAAGCTGTTATCGCTGCCATAATGGGAAATATTCGTTACTAAAGTTATTTTTTTTTTGTTTCAACAAAAAGCACATCTAATTAAAATTGTTCCTTTTCGATACTTAGTATATCACAGGAAAATTGTTAATTTTCATTACTTTCAACAAACTTTAAAAGGAAAAAAACATTGTTTTCTTTAAGCAATCTGTTAGTAAACTATGTTACAATTAAAAATAGTTAAAAAAGAATAATACTGTCTAAAATGAATTCAAATTACGGGATGACACTAATTTTATGCTTGGCAGTGTATGTGGGTAAAACCCTTTAAATGATATTAACTTTGTAAATTATTATACTTATCTTTTGATAAATTTAAATGACCTTCTAGTTATAAACATATTTAAATCATGGCAACGCAAGACTTCTAGGGGTTGCCAACCAAGAGGAGGTGTCTCTACGGGCGTTCGATAGCAACTGAGTTGTATACCTGACTTCTTAGTCAGAAAACGTTCTGTGATGTAACCAGAAAGAGCATTTTTAAAATATATTTACCTCTTATAAAGGTTTTTTTAAATAAAAGCTTTATGATTCATGGTATACAGCCATCTATAGGAACTTCGTTTTCCTTTTGGAAAAGACAAATACTGACAAGTTTTCTATTCAATAATGGAAGCCGGCTTTGCGAAATTATCAACAAAGTCCAAAATGCAGGTATAGGTAACAGAATCTCTCCCTCACTCTCTCTAATAACTTCTAAACCCTTCGTCTTCACATATTATTTAAACCTTTTACAATGTCATCTATCCATCTGAATATGAGTTTGCGTAAGGGTATCTTGCCGACTGGGTTATCTTACTATGAGAAGAACCCAGACAAATAGATGAGCTGGTTGTCCTGTCTGGATATGTCGTACCATCTGCGCCTCTGGGTTTTTATCTCGTTGAGTAGATTTGGACCATATTATGCTTTCCAATTCTTCATTTGTTTTAATTCGATATTGTCCAGTTGTGATAATATAGTTATATTTTGCCCTAATCTGTTCTACGGATGATATTTGTATGCATTTCGTCTTCCCTTCATTATTGATGATTAGTCCTCCTTATTTTGCTTTCTTTTCTATTTTCACAAACATCTCCTTTGTATTGGTGGAACTACTATATACGGTGTCGTACCCCGCGTTAAGTTGCGAGCTTATTTGATGGTCACATCTACCAAAATCTTGAAGTAGTGGTGATAGTTAGTAGGTACTTTTAAACCACTGATAACAGAGAAACTTTCTTAACCGTTCTTACCCCTATACTTTCCGTGGCCACTAAACACACAATCCCTTACGATGTTGTCATAAACTTGTCGGAAATCTATAAACAACTGGTTCATATCTTCACTAAATTCCTAAATCTTTCCCAGAAGTGTCTAATAGTGAAAATCTGATCTACTGTTGATCTTCATGGCCAAAAATCGCACTGATAGTCCTCGAATTCCTCTTACGCATATGAGGTTATTCTCGATCAGTATATGTGATCGAACATTGTGTGTTATGTTTAGCAACGTGGTATCACTGTAATTCTTGTACACAGCTCTGACATCTTTTTTATAAATAGGGATTTATATTAGGGTGGGAGTGGATAATTATACCTTCGTTCAATTCCTGTGCAGTTTTCCGATTCCCATGTCTTCCCCAACAAAGATTATATCACCTCATGCAGATGTTCTCCAACATGTTTTCTAAATCTGAAGTTATGTTATCACACCCAGGTTGTTAAAATATTCTTACCATGTTTTAAAAATGTCTCTTGTTTTAAAATATTTTTGATCTTTTAAATGCACCTGTTTCCATTTCTGTTAATATCTTGTTATATATAGGCTTCCCTCGTTTTCCTTCTTAATGAGTTTATAATGCCTTCGCTGGGCGTATGTATATTTGTCAGTTTTCATCGCTCTGGGTACTGTAACATCTTTAATCTGGCTGTGTTCCTAGTATCTTGTGCTATTATAGTTGAAATTTCTTGCCATACCAGTGGTTTCTTTTTAATTTTGTTTTCAACATTTTTTTCTGCGGCCTTTGATATTGAAAACTCGATCTTGTCGCAGCACTCTTCAACCCATTTTCTGTCCATGCTTATTTTTTTCTAATTGTGCTGCTATTTATGCGCGTTTCATTCCTATTCAATATCTTGGTATTCCGACTCTTCCTTTTCGTTTGTTCCCGCGTCCTTCCGCCCTAGCGGAATCTAAACAACTGGATACTCCAGCCGTTAAAGTTTCACTATTAATAATATGTAAATTAACTAACTAATATATATATATATATATATATATATATATATATATATATATATATATATATAAAGAGATCATATTCAGATACTTACGTCAGATTTTGGCACCAATGTCCCGGTCCTCGTGTACATAAATCCGTGCCCAATAGATGTTTTTTGTGCCCTGGTTTCGGTGGGACGAATACCCCGCTGGCAAATGCTGAAACAATAGAATAATTATTACCATGCAACTACCATACCACAATGAACACATATCAACTTCTCGAATACATTGTTTAATTTAAAAATATTAAATACGAATTAATAATGTTATTAGCCGCTGTTCCTCGATTAAATAATGATAAAAACAATTGTTTTATATTATATAATAAAATAACAAATAAAATAACAGTTGGAAAATAAATATTATTTTTAAATAATCATATATTGACACAACTTATTTCCCTGGGAGGTATTTAGAAATAACTTATTTACAGACCAAATTTTGATAATTTTTTGAACAAAAAAAGAAAATCATACCTGATTAATTAACCTCAATAAGCCTTGATTTAATACATATACGAGGAAAATAAAATTGTTTCTATCATCCAAGTTAAAATGACACAAAAGACCAACTACGAACAAAAATGAAAAGTTTTGCTCTTATAGAGCCTTATAATAAAAATTAGTCGATATAAATCTAGATATCTATATGTAAATAAGGAGTTAATTATAAAAAATATTACTAGTAACGAAAACGGAGTATGGAGATTCAGGTACAATACAACCATGAATTCTATCAACTGTTCAAAGATCCACCGTTCTCAGAATTCGTTAAACTTCAGAGACCTCGATGGGCTGGTCATGTAGTGAGAATGGAGGCGAAAAGAGTCCTAAATAGTAAAATGCAGGGTGCAAGACTACGGAAAAGGTGGGAGAATGAAGTGGCAACCGACGCGCAAAATTTGCTAGACGTGGAGACATAGTTGCCTAGGACGTTGGAGGCATAGTTTAGAGGAGGCTCAGGCTCGATTTGGGCTGTAATGCTATTGGGGAGAGAGACATATAGAAGATAAACATGGTACGTAACTGTATCCAGACACAGATAATCTCTATGCTAGTAATCTGTCGTATTTTATTTCTATGCTTTGGTCAGATGTTGAAGAAATCTAGAAGCGCAATTTTCAATTTGGTAGAAGATAATATCTTTCTTCCCGTGTCGGTCTGAGATTATGAGCCTGAGTTCGCTTCCACTCAACTCATAACAGACTTTGTAAATAACGTATAATCAAATAAACAAATATCTAACAAACGAATCTCTAGATATAACTGAGGATATAATTCTGAATAATAAAAACGTAGAAAAGATTGAGTCGTATATGTACTTAGAACTGAAAATCCAATTAACAAAGCTGAACTAGCATTGAACAGTACATGTAGCTGGTATTGACATATGGAATCAAAACATGGGCTTTTAACAACAACATAGTCTACAAACTTTAAGTGACTCAGAGAGCTATAGAACAAAGAATGCTCAACATTAAGCTCAGCGATAGCAAGTCAAATGAAGAAATAATTAGACGAACAAAAGTTACAGATGTAATTCAAAAGATTATATCAGGATATAGGAACCAACAGGAAGTAGAGGCCCATGGATTATAATTTTTCCATTGTTTTCCTTCATTTTCTTCAGTCCACGGCCGCAGTTCTCCAATTTGTTATCCCAATTGCTTGCAGGTCTTCCTTACACGCTTTTAGCTACTTTTGCGTGGTCATCCTCTTCTCGTCTTTCCTTCCCCTCTCAGCAGCGAGTCCTTTGCACACCTTCCATCAGTCATTCTCGTAAGATGGCCTAATCATATAAGTCTCTTTGTCAGGACCATCTGGCTAATTTCTGGTTTCCCGTACAGATCTCCCATATCTTCATTTGTTCATCTCCTCCGAACGTCTTCATTGTCTTTTACTCTTTTCATATTTCAATTCCTGTCTTAAATTTTTAATTGAACGTCCAGTTCAGATGTGAAGAAGAATCCTCTACTTTCCTATTTCAATTTCTGTCTTAAAATTTGTAGACATTTTAATCAACAAATGATGTAAGTACGTAATATCTACAGGCAAAAAATATTTACAATTTCCAAAAAGGAGACGATCAACCTAAAGCCCTCAACTTTCTTAGAAAGGATTAAATTTTCCAAGCGACAGAACGTGTTTTGCAGATTGTGAATCATTTTAGTTAAAAATAACAGATTGTGATTATAACACGCAGAATTGCTAGTTCTACAATAAACAGCGATATTAATAATTGAAATTATGTAGTAAAAATGTCACAAACATCTAATTTTACCCACATCATAATCTTTTACTTACATTTTACAAGTGCTGTTCGGAGTATAGTTTCTAAGTGTTCAGATATGACCAGAGTTAGAGAAGCAACTATTTATAGACTTTTAAAGCAACAAATGAGTGGAAGTATTACAGAAGCACCTAAAACGTTAACAGGGAAAAACCCTATTCATATAGAGATAGACGATACTGTGAAACAATCGATTAGAAGAAAAGTTCCTTAATTTTATTTACAAAAAAAGATTCCTACTTTGGATAAACTGTTAGTACACAATAATTAAGACGAATCTTCGTTAAACATTAAAAGAGATAAATTGTGGAAAACTTTACGTGAATTAGGATTATAATAATAATAGGTTTGTTTATGAGAATATCAATAGAAAATCTGCGCTCATAGAGAAGGAAGAAATTATTTTTTGGAGGAGGCAATATTTAGGAGAAATTCGAAAATTAAGGAGAGAAGCATAAATATTTTTTATTTAGATGAAACATGGATAAATGAAGGGCATTTTGTAAAAAAAGTTTGGCAAGGTAAACCTGTTACAAATTCTCGTCCGGCATTAATAGAAGATTTGTCTACGGGTTTAAAATTTCCAAATGGTAAAAGTCGCCGTTTAATTATCACTCATATTGGAAGAAATAAAGGATTTGTTGATGAAGGCCTGCTAGATTTTATTTAAAATTCTACGAAGGACCACTACGAAGAAATGACTGCTGAAGTTTTTGAGGAATATTGTTTTTTTACACAAAGTGACGTAATATCTCTATAGTTTTTTAGTCTAGCCTTTGAAGATGTGTTTACAAATATAAATTAATCAACATATGGCATCCACGTTAATGGCAATCAGTTAAATCACCTTAGATTCGCTGACGACATCGTGATTATAGCCAGCACATTCGAAGAATTACAAATTATAAGTAAATTCTGAAACTAGACAAAGAAAACCAAAGTGCGGAAATCACTAAAAGAACAAGACTCGCATGGGCAGGATTTTTAAAATTCAGTTGGATACTGAAGAACCACAAAATACCTCAATACTTAAGGAGCAAAGTGTTCAACCAATGCATCCTTCCTATCATGACATATGGATATCAACTGGACCCTAACCAAAGCAAAAAATGAATAAATTAGCCACAACAGAAAGGGCAATGTAAAGAGCAATGTTAGGTATATGACTATCCAACATGTCACACTGCTAGACAAGAAGACCAACTTTGGAACGCCACAATACAACAATGGAGACCTTACAAACGTAGACGACGAAGAGAAAGATCACAGATGAGATGGGTGAACGACATCAAAAGAATAGCCGGAACAAATTGAAAGTATGTCGCTCAGGATAGAGATCGATGTAAGGAGATGGGAGAGGCCTATGTTCAAAAATGGACGAAAGAAGGCTAAGAACAAGAAGAATAAAATGCGAATCTGATTTTTTTTTGACAAATTAAAAATAATTTAAGATTTAAAAAAATAAAAATTTTACTATACAGTGTATCCAAATAAAGTATGCAACCTACTCTTAAATTGATGTCATTATGTTGATTTACGTTTCAATTAATATTATATTTTAATCTGTAAATAAACCACGTAAAATGCAGATACATTGCTTTAATTTTTCTACGTTCTCACTTAAACTACCACTCCTATTTAGCGACCAGCTTTTGATTCCGCGAGTGTGGTCGCTATTGAAAGGTTTTACTGTACCTTGATTTTAATACTTTGTTGAAAGCTGAAGTCACGTAATTTTCATAGATTTATGTTTACCACTTGATTTATTCTCAAGATATAATATAATATATTCTACATAAAAGGCTGATTTGCTTCAAGAAGACAGTTTCAGAAATATGTTTATAGATTTTGAATGTGAAAATTAATATCAGACAATCTAAATCGAACTATAAATAATAAAATGTGTACATTTAAATTGTTTATGATTTCTATTAAACTAAGCGACAAATTGAAGGTCAACGTTTAAAACTGGTTAGGAAAGGTAAGTGAGAGGTTTTAAAATCTTTTGTGATTGTTACAGATCGAACAAGGATAATAATTATTAATATCAAATATGTTTGAACTGTGGTCAAGATATCTATGGATTTTTCCTTAAAAAATGTCTGCAAGCTATTTACTAGTTTCAGATCACTTTAATTTAAAATATTTACTTGAAATAACACATTTTTTATCGTCCTTTGCCTTTATTATTGGGAAGAAACAAGATGTTATGTAAGAAAACGAAACATTTTGCCTTTCTTAAGGAAAGCTGTGTTGAAGTGTATTAAGAAAAAGAACAACAAGGTACACAAAATCGGATTATACCAATGATATAAAAAGTAAACATCTGTGTTTTGTGTAAAACTAGAGGTCGCTCACTTCAAGCGTGATTTTGACGGAAGGCCGTCGAGATGGTTGCTGGCACATTGCCTAGCGAAAAACCATCGAGCTTTAGAACCTAAATAAATGCTCACTGCAGAAAGTGAATAGATAAAAGAGTTATTCTTGTAAATGTTTTTAAACGAAATAAAACAAAGAAGAAATGTCGTAAGTAACAGTACGTAGTAACCAACCGTCACATTAATCTTGTTCCTTTAACACCCACTTCTTCAAATACCTACATTTCTAAGTTTGCTGCACAAGCACATTTAATGTCCTCGTCTATTTATTTCCACATAGTTGATACATATCAAAGCTGTAGAGCCTGCTAGATACAGGCTCCACAGCCAATATTATTTCAACTTTGATAAAATGAAAGGCAGATATTGAGCACTAATCAAATCTTGACAAAGTACTTTCGCTTCCCAGGGCAGCTTCAGGGCATTTCGTCAATTTTTGGCTATCCAACAAGTGCAGAATGTCATAAACATAAAATTGTACATAACACA